GCCCCCCTCTCCCCTCCCGCGGTTCTCCCCCCTCACCCCTGGAAAGTACAAACTGCCCCCTGCCGACACCTGAGACCCCCTCCACCGGGGCACGCGAACCCGAAGACATGAACGCGAGGGGCCCGGAACAAGGGCCCGTTTTCCAATGACGTCCGGGAAGGGCCAGCCCGTAGGGATGTTTTTGTCACATTTCGACGCACCACGCCCCCCTCGCGACAATTTCGACGTGCAGCCACCGTTCCATGCACGGATCGAACAGACTAGAGTCGGCGCGTGGACCCTGCACTAAAATCCGAAACTTAAGGCCCGAGGTGGCCTCGTGTCCCGCGCGCCTACAAATACGAGCGGCGCCCTGGGCATTGACGATGCGTTTTGCGTTTTTTGCTGGGGAGATGCTGCCCGACGGAAGCCACGCACCGCCACTCTCGTCAACAGCTGGCACGCCATAGCTGGCACAACCATTCTTCACCGCGCACGTTTCGTGGCACCGACGCACCCCACATGCCCTCACATGTCCCTCCGCCTACCAAGTCGTTGTCCACGTCATATTCGACGTCGCTCCCGATCTCCTTTCTCGGAAGGCGCGACCGCCACCCCACGCAGCACCCCAGCAAATGCGAAGTGCACGCCCAAAGGTGGACAGAGTGTCGTCACGACAAACGCTGGGGTTCGCGGTCATCTTCACTCGGCAGTTCCACACGGTGAGTGCGCACGCAGTCGAGATGTATGTTTGCATGTGCGCGCGTGCGGGGAAGGTTTTTGTGACGATATGCTCAAGCAGATCGAAAGATTTCGTGGCTGCATGTGTGCGGGTGGGCGTGTGTGTGTGTGTGTGTTTGTGTGTGATTGTGTGTTTATGCATGTTTCGTTGTGTGTGTGTGTGTGTGTTCGAGTGTGTGTTCCTTTGTGTTTGTGTCTGTATTGAAGTGTGTGCCACACGCGCGAGGCAGGATCGTGCGCGCATCTGTACCTGAGGGGCGTGTGTGTGCGGGCGCCGTGTGTTGGCGCGCGTGTGTGTGTGTGTGTGCGTGTGTGTGCCTGTCTGTGCATATGTGTTCGTGTGCGTGTGTGTTCGCGCGCGTTTACCGCGGGGAGATGCGCGCGAACGTGCGCGGTCAGGGACGAACGTCATGGTTCACCCTTCGATTCCGCTTGTGTGTGGATGTGTGAGGATGTGTGAGGAGAGTATCAACAAACGATTGCGCTCGTGCTGTACTCAAGTGGCGAAGCACGGAAGCTTCGGATCGAACACGGGGCGGCCAATAACGAAACACAACGTCATCGTGAGCACTTGCCATACCCGATCTGCCCAATGGATGATCAATCGAAACACGCGGTGGCAATGTGGACACAGCTCGGATTGAACACGCGGCGGTTTTGTGTGCTGTCAGAATGTCATGTCTGCCGATCTGTCCAATGGATGATCAATCGAAACACGCGGCGGTTTTGTGTGCTGTCCCAATGTCATGTCTGCCTATTTGCCCAATGGATGATCAATGGAAACACGCGGTGGCAATGTCAACACAGCTGACGCATCCATCGACCAATCGGGAAACACGATTAGATCACTCGCGATCGTATGATTGGTCGTGTCTGCCGTGTCGACGCTACCACCGTGTGTGTGTTGTTTTTTCTGTCGTGTGTGTTCAGATCACTCGTGATCTGATGGTCGATCAGATCCATGACAATATGTACACCACACACGTGATGAACCAACCCATCACGAAACGCAAGCCGACCACTCGCGGTCGGGTGATAGATGTTGTTTGCCTCCCCAACAACAGCGCCGCTGATCTGCCCGACGAATGATTAACCAATGAAGGAGGCGACACCACATCCAAATGACCAATCGCGAAACGATAGAAGATTACTTGCGATCGGATGATTGATCGTGTATGATGCACCGAAGATCAACCCGCCAGCGAGCGACCTGTTTATTTACCCACCTGACAGTCCTCGACCGAACCGTCGATCGGTCAGGAAATCTGCCAGGATCAACTGATTGGTCGACAGCTCAGTTGGCGATTGCTCTGCTGGTTGATCAACCACCACACCAACCACCAACCGAGCAGCCGATCGACTGTTCTGTGCTAATTGATCGTGGAGAACGATCGCGGAGGATCCTCAAGGCAAATGATCATGTGCACGGTCGAAACCAGCGAACGAAACGCACAACCGATCGGAAAAACGTCGATCCCGATCTTCGAACGAATAAAAAGCACTTCGTCCCAATCTTGTTGCACATCGAACCTCGTATAACATCGAACCATGCCGCCCACGGAACCTGGCTCCACATCAAACCTCGGGGGGCGTCGAACCTCGTCGAACGTCGAACTTTGAGCACCCACCACCCCACGCGTCGCCGGCACTGTTCTCGTGATCGGAACGTGGCCGTTCCAACTGAACTGATCGCGCAATCAAACACCGGAAGAAGTTGGGATCCCGGCGAGCTTTTGCAGCTGTCGAACATGCTTTTCAACCCCGGTGCGCAACCACAGACAGGGACGTGGAAAATTAGAAGTCCGCCGGGATCCCAACTTCAAGAAATTGCTGGACGGCGAGTTTGGCAGACACGTGTGCATCTCCCGCGCAATTTCGTCAAGTTCGGATCCCGACGAACTTCATGCAGCTGTTCGAACACGCTTCGCAACCCCGGTCCCCAACCACAGCCCAGGACGTGTAAAAATTGGAAGTCCGCCGGGATCGGAACTTGAAGAAATTGCTGGACGGCGAGTTCGGCAGACAGGTGTATGTCTCCCACGCAATTTTGTCAAGTCCGGATCCCGGCGAACTTCATGCAGCTGTATGTCTCCCTCGCAACCCAGGTCCGCAACCACAGCTTGGGACGTGAAAAAATATGAAGTCCGCCAGGATCCGAACTTCAAGAAATTCGCAAGACGACGAGTTTGGCAGACAGGTGTGTATCTCCCACGTAATTTTTCAAAGTTCGGATCCCGGCTAACGACAGGTTCCTGCTGGCCTGCGGATCCAAACCTCGCTCGCACTATTCCTTGCACAGTCGTCGAGTCCGGACCTCGGCGAACCTCGGATCCGTGATAATGCGAAGTCCGCCGGGATCCGGACTTCTACTGCACGGTTCCTCGCACAGACGTCAAGTTCGCACGCCGGGGACTTCGCTTGTCTCAATGTGCAGGTTCAGAACGTGGGTTTCTAGCTCTCGGGGTTTGGCACAACTTTGTATTTAAAAAAATGTGTAGCCCGCCGATTGATTCTCTCCCACGCGGTCTCGAGAAGTTCGGATCCCGGCGAACACCCTCCCGTGGATTCGGACATCGCGTGGCAAGTTCGGACCCCGGCGAACTTCGCGTCCCGCATGGTGTGGGTACTGACTGTGTCCTTTCTCGCGAACGGGTGTTTGCCACAACTTTTGTCTCGGAAAAATGCGAAGTCCGCCGGGATCCGTACTTCTCGTGCAAAGCTTCCTTCTCCCATCGTCGGGTTCGCCTGCTGGGCCGTGGATCCGAACATGCTGTCTTCCTTTCACAATGCATGTAGCAGGAGATGTTCCTTTCGCAAGTTCGGATCCCGGCGAATTTTCCAAGTTCGGATCCCGACGAATTTGAGTTGTCTTCCTTTCGCAATGCATGTGGCAGGAGATGTTCCTGCAGGGCCGTGGATCAGAACCTGTCGTGCACGGTTCCTCAGACAATCGTAAATTTCGGATCACGGTGGACTACGGATTCTATCAAATGCAAAGTCCGCTGAGATCCGAACTTCCCGTGCACGGTTCGTCGAAAAACCGTCGACTTCGGACCCCAGCGTGCTTTACCTTTCGGGTGGTGCGGGGTCTGACTGTGGACTTTCTTGCGACCGGTGGATTGCCAGAACTTTTCATTCGTGCGAAATTGTAAGTTCGCCTGTATCCGAACTTCTTGGCAGTTTTCGACGTCGGGTTTGGGAGACAGCTTCGTCTTTCTCGCGCAGTCTTTCCAAGTTCGGATCCAGGCGAACATGTCGCTGGGCGTGTTTGCGGCTGGCCCGCGGGCCGGTAGATGTGAACACCGACGAAGCCGGCAACCCGAAATCGGATCTTGGGGCATACACTGCGTCTAATGCCATGGGTCGCACATCGCGAGACATGACGCGTTTACGATTGTCTCCGTGCCTGTGTGTGTCGTCGGGCATATGCGCGTGGTGTGTAGGTTGCGTGATGGAGGGGACCTTCTCGACACCACGCATCTTCGAGTCGATCTTCTCGAGACCACAGGCCATGAGTGCCGAGACGCACATTTGCTTAGCAGAACCTTTTCGTCCTTGTGCGAAATCCGTGCGACATTTCAACGGTGTGATGACGATCCACGGAGCGACAGCAGAGGACTTCGACGAGGACCTATGGATGACCGTCGTTCCGTGCAGGGACACGCATCTTGACGACTGGGGCGAGGGCAATTGGGTTTGTATGGAGAGTCACTGCCCTTGGGCAAGCGAGTACAAGTTCGCGAATATGTTGGAGTTCGGGGACCTCATCCCACTGCCTTACCCCGTCCTCGGACATAATTTCCTAAAGCATATGCGAAAAGCACTAAGCTGCATTAGCCGCTATTTCAGTCGCCTCGAGTCCCACAACGAACTTGGGGTGGCTCGCGGAAACAAGAGTTGGTGGACTGCGCTTGTCGCTGCTCGTTCGTGGACCAGTACCCGCTCCGTTGCCCCGGGATTTCTCCACGAGCAGTGTCGTACTGCTGTGTGCGGTTGGCTGTGTCCGTTCTGATTTCGCCAGAGTTCTATGTGTCGCTGCTTCGAACAAGAGCAGGAAACTCGTCGACGCAGTTGTGCTCGTGTTGCGCAACGAGGTTGTGATTGAAGGGTCCAAATTCGTGCCGATGCGTGGGCCTGAACGTGTGGATGGGTGGCCAGATTTGGTGATAGCAGGTCAGGTTCGAAACTATTCATTGTTTCGTGAGGTTGAGGAGAAAGCGGCTGACATACGGGACTGCATAGGAAACTCCTTGGCACGACCGAGGGTGTTTGTTACGATGAAATACATGTCCGTTTTTTTAGAGATTGCATCCGTCGACGAACCGCAGACCCTCGTCTACGGATCGTCACTGAATGATTTGTTTGGCTTCGGTTCACGACGTCATCCCGGAGGATCCCCAAATGTCGCGGCATCCGAACTGGTCTTTAGTCCTTCTGTTTGAGGGAAAAGAACAGCGAGGGACAAGATGCGGTTGTGCCGCCTGACATGTCAGATTTGTAGGACTTCAGAGAAGTGTGAGACTATGCGGTTGCTGGTACACGCTGCACCGCGCGCTTGTCGTCCAAATCCCTGGTCGTCGTTCGGTTCAGTGACATGACGAAAGTCATGTTGGACGTCCGTCTCTGACGGCGTCTCCTGCCATGTCGTGCCCCGGCGAAGTTCGGATCTCGGCGAACTTCGCGTTCTGGCCTCTCCGTTAATTTGTCCCTGATGTCATTGGCGTCGGGCGGGCCGTGGGAAAGACCCATCACCTTGGAAGGATCTGCCCATAACCGGTTTTCGCCCGTCCACCATCAACATGTGCCAAACAGTCGGTCACTGTCGTAGCGAGATGCCAAAAGCACTCTTAGAGATCCCCGTCGCAAGGTCGCGCGAGCTTCGCGTTTCCTGAAACCCATTGGAGATCCGGGTTGGCAGGCCCTCTTGTTGGAAATACCGTTGGCACCGTGCTAGGACACCTTGCTAGGACCCCAACTTTTTGTCTTTCTCTCTCGCAACCTCGTGAAGTTCGGATCCCGACGAACTTCCTGTGACGCCTGTGTATTGAACGGGCGCCGGGCTTGATGATCCCCGGTGGATTGCGACACGAGTCAAACCCTGATCCACAACTGCTCCTCCAGGGACTCATACAATGTTGTCGTGGCTGCTCGTTCGAACTTGGCTTCATCCAATGCGAAGTTGCGCATATCAGAAGAAGTTCGGATTTCGGCGAACTTGTCCTTCTCAAGCGGCCTTTTGTGTTAATGCGGCCTTTCCGGGTCGTCGTTCAGTCCAATCTGTGTTTGCCTGACGCCGTCTCTGCCTGTCACATTTTCCTGAAGTTCGGATCCTGGCGAACTTCACGTTTCGGTGGGTGCGTTAGTTCGGCTTCGGACAGGCACTTTTAGTACGGATCTCGGCGAACTTCGCGTCCTGAACTGTCCGGGTTCCTATTGCTAAACGGACAACACTGCCCCGTCCAACGCGGGCTTTGTGCGTCACCACCCGTCCATTCCCGATCGGGTGGACATCTGTGTTCCGAAAAAAACCGACGTGGTTGTCGCCCAGCTGCATGAAGCGTGTGCCCTTGTAAAGAATGATCTCGTTGCAGGTAAGAGGTCATTGTTGGTCTTCGCGTTAGAAGTTCGCCAGGATCCGAACTTTGAGGTCCTCGGATAGCGTCATGTGACCGACGTGTTGAGGGCAAGGTGTGCCTCCTCTGTTTTTTGCCTGCGTTGTGCTTTGACTGCGATTTGACGCTCGCTGGTGTTTTATTTGTTTTCCGTTGCCGTCCGCAGGCAATATGTCTTTGTCCAGGGGCGAAGGGGAGCCTACAGCGACCTCCGGGATGGGATCTGGGAAAGATTTTACAAAACGGTCGTCCACGACCTCGAGGACGTTGTCCGACCACGCTAGGTCGAAATGGTTCGTCGACTGGTGCTGTGCTGATGCTACGAACCCAGTCCAACAGCCGTGTGGTCCTGTGATCTTCGTCGAAGCCAACAAGCGCCGCAGGGTTCTGGGGTCTGTCTTGCGGTGGGAGAATGTGAAAGGCAGTCGTCGACGGTTTTACATGAAACATGTGTACGATTCGAAGGGGAACGTCGTCGCCGGTGCCAAGGGGGCAGTTCTCGACATGTGTCAGTCGAGGGGTTCGGAGCGGGTGCTGCGAACACCCCGTTCTACAACGACCTCCGACGGCAGGGCGGGTTTGTTTTGGGTCGAGAGTTCTTCGACCTGTTGGAGGACAAGGGCATCGCGCTCGACGTCCCTTGCGAAGTCGGTCCCGACCTGGAACTGTCAATGCCTTTGCAGCCGTGCGGCGGTTGTGAGTCGAGCGGGGCAGCGGGGAAGGGGGGTGATCTGGGTTCCGGGGAGGCTACACATGTGCAGCGGGAGGATGCCAGAGGTCAGTTTGACGAAAGCGAAGATGAGGCGAAACCTCATCCGCCGTTTTCGCCGTCGAGGGAAAGAGAGGTCCGTGCTGTCCATACCTGGGGTCCGGCAACAGACCGCTGCGGATCCCGTAGAAGAGGGAGTCCTGTGTGGGTCTAACTTGGAGCCCGCCGAGGGCCATGGCGCGGAAGGCGAGGCCGTGGGCGGGGAGGGAGTGCAGGGCACTCCCCAAAAAAGGAGGGGAGAATGTCAAGAAGAGTTGGTGTGCTCTTCGAAGAAACAGAAGACCAAGACCCTGAGGACTGCGGGAGAGAAACGGAAGGGGAGGGGGGTGGAAGAGGGCCACCTGGGTAGCAAACGTCCAGCTTCGAAACATAAACAGCCTGAGTCGGGACCTTCTTCACCACGGCCTGCCATCGACGTGGACGCCGGGTACTTCCTGGAGTACAAAGACGGCGTCAGGACAAGGCGGGGGTTTGAGATCAGCCCGGCTCAGATCGTTGACATAAGGGAGTGGGAGGATCTTTACAACCATCGGTCGCTAGATCCCATCCTCGTGGAAACGATAAGGGAAGCAATGCGGTATGCGTTCGAAAATAAAGAACAGACGTACGAGTTGCCGGTCTTCAAGCTCGCACCACTGGGGCTTCAAAAACCAACTCCTGGGACCAAGGCACAACGTCTGAAGCCAGAGGAGTGAAAGGATGAGCTGGCGGGAGAATACTACTACTACGTGGTGTGCGGGCAGCACAACGCGGCTGCAACCAGGTCGCTGCTCGGCAGCGAGGTGGCCAAGAAGTACAACTTCGAGCGGTGGCCGACACGGATGGTGTACTTTTCCAACGATGACTTCGAAGGGTATTTTCTTGTTAGTTCACAGGACAACAAGAAGGACCTGAAGGCGCCTCCCAGACAGTTGAAACTTTCTATGAAAGACATTCGATGGCAGTGGAAGCATGACGGCTGCCCGAGAGCTGTGATGGGGAACCCTAGCGGGAAACAAGATCAGGTCCGGGCTTGGCGTAAGTTTTGTACAACGGCGCTCCATAAGGCGCCTCAAAACAGCTTGTGGCTTCTCGCGGATCAAAAGGAAGAGAAGGCCATTAAGAAGCAAAATGCTGCCCTGCGTTCTTACTTATCTCTGGCGATGGTCGGGGAAAATGTCTGGAAACTGGCCGTGGAATTTTTCAAAAAATGGGAGACGGGCAGATTGCTGAGCCACGATGGGGCCAAGTGGACCGTCAAAAAGAAGAAGGTCAAAAACGTAAAGTTTGGGGTCGCCTACATCCACAACGACAAATTGGGCAGAACGGAGGTGGTGAACAACGTCCCCGTGGACCCGCCGAATAAAAAGGGCAAAAGGAGAAAAAGGAGGGCGATTGGTTCGTGCAAGTGCCAGCCCCGGACGCGCATTGTCGGAAAGCAATGGAATCACTCACGGACAATGAGAAGTGTCGCGTTCTGAAAAAGGTGGTTGCTTGCGAGGTCGTTTGGGTCCAGGCTGGCTCCCCGTCGTTGGCGAAGTTGGGAAAGCTCAGCGTGCAGGACATGGTTCAGCTGGTGAAGTGTGACCGTGTGCTGGTCCGGTTGTGGAATTACTACCAATTCAAACACGAGAAGAGGCCGGACGCGGACTGGATCCTAAGGTACCCTTTCCTGAAATCGAGGTCTACCGTGTTCAAGAAGTTTGAAGGTCAGGGACTGGATGACGAGTTGTGGGATAACAGCAGGAAACACGTTTCCGACTCGGCGCTGTTCAAGGACTGCCCGCCGTACATGGGTTGCGACCAGGACAACTCGATTGAGGTGACGGAGAAGTTGGCGGGCCACAAGAAGTTGTCCGTCGACTGCGCTCGTCGCTGCTCGTTCGTGGACCAGTACCCGCTCCGTTGCCCCGGGATTTCTCCACGAGCTGTATCGTACTGCTGTGTGCGTTTGACTGTGTCCGGATCTGAGTTCGCCAGAGTTATGTGTGCCACTACTTCGAACAAGAGCAGGAAACTCGTCGATGCAGTTGTGCTCGTATCACACAACGAGGTCGTGATTGAATGTTCCAAATTCGTGCCGATGCGTGGCCTGAACGTGTGGATGGGTGGCCAGATTTGGTGATAGCAGGTCAGGTTCGAAACTATTCGTTGTGGCATGAGGTTGACGAGAAAGCGGCTGACCTACGGGACTGCATAGGAAACTCCTTGGCATCATCGGGGGTGTTGGAGAAACAAGGTTCTTTCCGTGTTGAATGGAAGCAAACTGAAGAGCCGGGAAGTCGCACTTGCCGAAGGCGTCATTCACATTAAATGCAAAGACACGGGGGACGTGACATCCATCGCGTCGTTCGCCAACGACCCTTTAGAGGCGGACATCAGGGGCGCAGAGCTGAAGGGGCAGTGGCTGCCACAAAGAGCCACACGTTCGTCCTCGATCTGTGCGAGCTGGTTGACCTCAAACTGTGGAAGCCCCAAGCGTGGGAGACTTGAATTCCTATCTGCAGACGTGGTGTCCCTCGCGTTGGACTCTCGTTGTTTTCGTGCCGCGGCAGCACAACCTGTCGTTTCTCGCCAGCATGCACCATCTTTTTTTCGTCAAGCTGTTGGAAGGGAAGTGGGTGCGGAAAGTGCAGCAAAAAAAAAGCTTCCCCATTGGGAACAATTTGTACACGGAGGAAGACCGCATGTACATCCTCTTCAAGGGTGACGATCTGCGCGTCAACACGTCAATGGTCTACGAGGGAAACCTGCCCAGGGGTGTCGCTGCTGCGGTGCGATTGCCTCAGAGGGTCACCCAGATGGATGTGTCCGAGATTCCTTTCACGCCTTGCGGCTTGTCGCTGGTGACGCCTAAGCGACAGGGCAGCGTCTACGGGGATATGGAACGTAATCCGACCCAATTCGTCGGTCTTCTTGATTTTCTTGGCAAGAAGGGAGAGGGTGTTGTGTTTCTTGAAAAACCGCGCGCGCGAAGCGTCATGGAGCTTCTAAAGGCCGGCCGACACGTTGTCGCAATGGAAGGGAACTCCTACCTCTTGCAATTCACGATGCAGGTGGTGAAAAGCGAGGTCAATTCGAGTGGGCACAATTGTGAGTTCATGGTCGTGAGGCCAACACGGGATAAGGTGTGGAGCAAGAAGACGGATATGTGGTTCAAGTTGAGCGAGAGGAAGAGGAACAAGATATACGATTTCTTGTTCCTTTAAACGCGTCCGAGGAGGGACACTGACGCCGAGTACATCCGCCGGAAGGACCACATGCTGGCACTGCTCGACAACTACCACTTCGCCTCCCGCATGAACGCGAAGACGTTTATCGAAAGGTTGCAGTCACTGTACTTCGTGGAGTCTGAGGAGCAGTTGAAGTTACCCAGTTACGCTTCCCTGATCTCCACTGACGACGAGGAAGCCATAGGTGTGGAGTTTGTCGCCAACGCGAAGGAGGAGGAGAGCGACATGGAGAGCATCGACCTGCAGTACGACCCGCCTCCGGTGGACCACGGCCGAGGGTCCTCGTCGGCCGGTCCGTCACCAAGCGCTGCAGCTCTCGTGTCACCATTGGCCAAACCGGCGCCGAGCACCACGCCAATGAAGTTGCTGGAGAGACTTAGAGCTCTGGCCGCCCCCCCGCCCGCTTTGCGTCCCGGGTCCGTTGTCAGCCCGATCGTCCGTCTTGGAAGGATGACAACATCCACTTCCTGCTTGAACCGCAACGTCATTCACTGGAGCAGGAATGGGGCCATGACATGGTTTGGCATCCGGGAGTCATCCAGCCAGCGATACGAAATGGCGAGTGGGTCATGGCCGTGGCAATCCCGGGCGCGGGATGGGTGTGATTCCCACGCGAGTCGAAGTCCAACTTCCTGCACCTCGCAAGGATTTCGGTCCTCCAGAAAGTGAAGGTCGAAAATGACACTTTAGCACCGGGCGACCTGTCCCTCATTTCCGCTGCCGGTCGACTGTTTGACGAGCTTCAGGACAAGTGCCGGTTGGAATTGACGGAGGACTACTACGAGCTCGACACGAGTCCGTCGAAGGGCGTGGTGGACTGGAAAGTGCCCCCTCCTAGTGGGCCGGACGGTGGTTCCATAGCGGGGTCACCTGGAAGCGGAGGGGATGGGGGTGGCGACGCAGGGGGTGGCAAAGGAATCTCGCCTATGGGTGAGAGAGGGTCTCACGGCCGCAACACGACACCGGAAGGCAGCGCCGGGATGGCGGGTTTCGTCGTCGACCGGACTCCGTCGACAGGCACCCGGCCCGAGCACACGATACACTCCGCCGACCCCCAGACTTCGTCCGTGGGCTCAGCGAGGGACACGTTGGCAGCCTTGATTGCTCTGGGCATTCGCTCGGCCGGAAAGCCAAAGTCCGCCGGGATCCGAACTACGTCGGGTGAGGAGCCGCCAGAGCGGTCCGGAATGCGAAGCTGCTCGGGGTTGTGGGATCCAAGCACGGATCGAGAAATTCGCAGCATTGCGGCGCGGGACGGAGACGTCGGAACGGTGTTGCCTGTGCGGGAGCGACGGCCGCAAGGATTGCAGCAGGAGGCTGCAACTGCAGGATCCGGCGACACGGAGACCAAGAAGTCCGCCGAGATCCGAACTTCGTCGGGCGGGGGGTGTCGGCCAGGGATTGTCGTGCCGTTGAGAGAGGCAGCGTGCACGAGGACGGAAGGGCGGTCCTCACGATTCGGCACGGGTACCGCGGAAGGGGACGAGTTTCGTGGGAGGGAAGTAGGGGAGGAAACGGATGAACAGAAGGAAGCGCAAGAAGGGGAGGAAGAAGGGGAAGAAGGGGTGGAAGGGGAGGAAGCGGGAGAAACGGAGCTAATTGATTTGTTTGAAGGAAGGGAGGGTGCCGGGTTTGGAGAGGACGAAGTGGAACACAGTGAGGACGATGCCGGATCTGGAGAGTCGTCTGACGAGTTCGGACAACTATACGGAGAGCATCACGAGGATGATGTCGATGACGATGCCACGGCAATAGAGATGGAGACACAAGTGGTCAGCAACCTTTCCGCAGAGCCAGAAGATTATGCGGTCCGGCCACTGACGTCTGCTGTCGACTTGCGGCACTGGTTCGACGAGGCTTCCGTCGCTATTAGCCCGTCTGAAAAAAGTCGACGTATAAGCATCGATGAAGTTATCGACGGTATCCTCGGCGACCACAACGTGTCTGCCCGTCCGTCCGCAACTGCCAACGTCGCATCTTCCATGGCAGCTGCCGTCGCTTCGTCGCTGATGAAGTCTCTGGTGCTGCAGGCCACCCTCGTCGCCAAAGGGGAAGGCAAGTGCGGTGGAGGACAGCATTTGACGTCCCCAAAAAAATCGAGGTTCGGCGTTCGGGCTCTCGACGTGCTCGCTTTGCCTGCGCCAAATTCACCATCGAAGGAGCGGAGAGAGAAACAGACTGGTTAGCCTTGAAGAACGCCTGCGCATCCGGATGTCGCCGGATTACATTCCGCGCTATACACACGACGACTGTCCACACTGTCTGTGCATACGGGAAGTTCCGGGTGTCGGCATGCTACAGCCAGAAGCCCTTCCTACTCCAGCTCGTCGGCCTATCAGTGACTCGACCGGGTTGCTAGTCGAGGGCGGCGAAAACTTCGTCCAAAACCTTACACTCCATCCAAGGAGGATCTGACCCGGCTGAGGAAGTGGCCAAGGTGCTAAGAAAGTGGCCAAGTACATGGACTGATAGTTTTCCCTTCTCGGGAGTAGTGTCAGTTTTAGTCCGCCGGGATCCGAACTTCCTTTGTCAATGCGTGATGTGGTCAGTCTCAGTGGGGCTGGTGTTTTCAAAAGTCCGCCGTAGTCCGAACTTCGGGGATTGCTGGCCTCCGGCTTCTGTGAGTTGTGGTGGTTTTCCTTTGCGAAGTGCAAGGGGTGATAAGCTCGAATGTTGCAGTCGTTTTGTTTTCCAGTCGCACAACGGCACCTAGGTGCACATGACCACCCGAGATCAGGGTCCTATGGTCGGAGAGGTCCTGCTTGAGTGTAGGCCAAGGTGCTAAGAAAGTGGCCAAGTACATGGACTGACAGTTTTCCCTTCTCGGGAATAGTGCCGGTTTTAGTCCGCCGGGATCCGAAGTTCCTTTATGGATGAGTGATGCGGCAGTCTCAGTGGGGCTGGTGTGTTCATAAGTCCGCCGCAGTCCGAACTTCGCGGATTGCTGGCCTCCGACTTCTGTGAGTTGTGGTGGTTTTCCTTTGCGAAGTGCGGGGGTGATAAGCTCGGATGTTGCAGTCATTTTGTTTTCCAATTCCACAACCGCACCTGGGTGCACATGACCACGCGAGATCAGGGTCCTGTGGTCGGAAAGGTCCTGCTTGACTGTTGCGTCTGTACGAATGTATGGTTCTCATTTTTCGTTTTGTCTTTCTTCTGTTGTACAGGGGTGGTGTCGTCTCGAACACGGAGGTCTTCCAAATATCTAGAGCACATATTGCAGAAAGTCCCCGGGTTGAGTAAAAAACACAAGGATATGTTAAAGGCATCAGGGGTTGATGTCAAGATCGGGAAGAAGGAGGATACCGTTGCCATTGAGGAATGTCTTTCCCTTCTTGCCCTGGACAAAGGGACATATCCACGATCTGTGAGTAGGGATCAGGCCATGTATGAGAAGTACTTAGCAACGCGTCATGCACCGGGGGACAATGTCTGGAACTCCGTTTCTCACTACACCACGTGTCCTTTGCTCGATGTTGTGCAGTGCGGGCAACAAGTGCAGCACGCGGGAAAAGTTTCGCTGCGACGATTGCGCCTCTGAGCTTGCGGGTTTTGGATGACATTGTACGAGGCTCGGTGCCGTCTAACACTATTCTCTCTATACTGGGCGATGGTCAATTTCGGATTGCAGCGGCAGGGTGAATGATGAGGTGGTTAACTTCTATATGGCGTTGTTGGGGTCGACCGCATGTGGGTCACGTGACATCTCTTCAGGCCTTCAAGTCTTCAACTTTAATTCGTTCTTCTTCAGTAAACTGCGACTTCAAGGACACGGTGGGGTGCAGAGGTGGGCTAAATACGTAGATTTGCTTCGTTACGATATTATCTTCGTTCCTGTCCACAAAGATGATGATCACTGGATCCTCGTTTCCGTCAACATGAGAGATGATGTTCTCGAAATTTTTGATTATTTTTCTCGCATTGTAGCTGATTCTAGTTTTTACCTTAGTGTTTTCGGGTTGATTGTGCAGTATTTGGAACGTCAAACATCACATAGGCGGTCGGGTAGGAATTGGAAGTTCATGGTGGGAAATGTTGTGGTGGATGGAGTTCCGAGACAAGTGGATGGAGCAAGCTGTGGTGTGTTCATATTGATGTATGCGACGCTGTTGCAACATGGAGATCGACCGCCTTTCCGGTTTTCTTGTAAAGATATTCCACTGCTTAGACGACAATTAGCATCATGTGTCTTAGAACATCGTTGTCTTTGATAGATTTGATTGACTTTGAAACATTTTTTTAAGGTATTCCATTCGTTGATCGTTAAATTTCGTAAATCGAGACATTATTCAATTGTCCTTCTGCTAGAGGCATTGCTTTCTTCTATCGTTCCGAGTTCGCATTATCTATGACAAGCTCAATGCATGTCCTGCGTCATGTATGGGCTTTGTAAATTATGTCACGTAATGTTCCATGTTCCGAATTTTGTTCAAGTTGAAGTATTGTGTTCTATGTTTCGAATTTTGTTCAACTGGAAGTGTAAACATGATTGTGAAACTGGTTGATGGATGAATGAGAAATCTCATCTTATGTGAAATTGGTCTGTGGATGCCCAAACCTCCTTTGCATAACCATTTGAAATGCGGATATTCATCGCGATAGAGCACAATTTAACCTAATTCAATCTAATTACATTGCTAATTTTGTTTACAAAAGTTCAACAACTATGGATGTCAGCAAACTTTCGCATTTGGGGCGACTGGGCGGGCATGCCCATGTACAAACACTGCAGTCAAAAATGAATTCGTAAGAAAGAGGACAGTGTCACAATATAGTTACTGTGTCTTTCATCACATTTATGAAATTGAAGTTCGACAAGTTAGGATCACAGCACAGTTCCGCACAGGGTTTCGTTTGGTGTGCCAATCGTTGCTCGTTTATGAAGTTTGACTAGTATGGATCCCAACACACTTCCCCACAGGATCACCAACATGTTTTTGATGTTCAACAAGTAAGGATCCTAACACACTTCCACATTTGGGATTTCATTTATGAAGTTTCACAAGTATGGATCTTAGCACGCTTCTGCATGTGGTGGCGGGTTTTTGATGTTCAACAAGTAAGGATCCGAACCCCTGGATGGGCATGCCTACATTGCTTAGGCTGCAACCAAAAATTAATTCGTTAGAAAGAGGACATAGTATAATGTCCTATTTTAACGAATAACGTGTTGTAGAATCCCCTCGCTTGGTCTGGCTTCTTCCTGAATGAGAAGATGGTTAGGTAGATTGCATGGTCAAGGCCTGGGTGCGGACTGCTAGGGAGTATTTCTGTCATTTGCAGTGCCCCTTGCAATTCATCTCAAATTAGAATTAGATCAATCCGTAATTTGGATGCTCTCTCTGAATGGTTTTTGCGAAAGCAGGTAAAACCGCATCTGGTGGGGAATGTCTATTTGAATGCGTCTACGAGGTTGAGAGATTGAGTCAGATCTACAATGGTACTTTCATCGCTCTCCATGTAGAATGGGCAGGGGGATGGAATCTTTCATCTGTCTAGTCATCGGTCCGGGGCCCCGTTGAAATGCCCTGCCATTATTATCAGTATTCCCCCCGGCAACTTTGCTTTTAGTCATTCAAAGAAGAGATGTCTTCTTTAGGCTCATTCGGGCCGTACACATTCAACCTAAGGGCTATTATACACAAATTTCCAGGGCCAACGGGTGTGGAGGAAAGGGGTTCGAAAATTCTTTTACAGGTCTCATAAAAAATTATGAACCTATCTCCATCCACTTCCTAAAAACAAGGCGGTAGTCTCGGGAGGGCTCACTGACACATAGCTTGAGTGACCGTCCGACTTTGCAAGGGCCTGGAAAGGGCTTGGAAATCTCTCTCTCTCTCTCTCTCTCTGTGTGTGTGTGTGTGTGTGTGTGTGTGTCACACACACACACACTCACAAAAAAAAAAAAAAAAAAAAAAAA